TCAAACCTGACAATTTTTTCTTTTAAAGATTACATTAATGGAATGGTCCAGTGAGGTAGCACACACCTTTAATCCCAGTACTTGGGAAGCAGAGGCAGGCAGATTTCTGTGAGTTCAAGGTCAGCCTGGTCTACATAGTAAGTTCCAGGCTAGCTGGGGCTACAGGGAGACCCTATTTCAAAACGACAACCCCCAAAAGATTACATTTATTTATTTGTGTGTGTAGAGGGGGTGGACACGTGCTATGGTACCAATGTTGAAATCAAAGGACAATTTGACCCCCATGTGGATTCAAGGATTGAAGTCATAAGGCTTGGCAGCAAGTGCCTTTACCCACTAAGCCATCTAACTGGCCCCAATAATAGGCCATTTAAACCATGCAGTAAGTCATGCCTTGATCTTATTCTAATGGACAAAGTACTTATGCAGAGTATTCTGAGTATTGCTGGGGATAGTAAATTAATAACATCATCCTTGATCTCAAGGAATTTACAATATTGTTGGGTAATAAGAACAGGACATAAATAATAATCGTCATCACTGTGGATTCTAAAAGAGAAAGTAGTACTTGGGGGGCGTAAAATTAGGAAAAGAATTTTGACTCGGAAGTGATCATCTGTGAGGACACAGCAGATGTTGGGAGAGCAGTCTGCTTTCATACAGATTTTTCAACCAAATCACTTCCTATCCTTCTGACTTTTATTCACCCAGAAGAAGAAGTGCATGATATCAAACCATCAGTCACATTCTCTCTTCACTTCCCTTTGTCTTTGCACTGGTCCCTCTGCCTTACTGCTGTTTCCCTCTGTTAACTTGAGCAAGTCCTAATTATAATTCGATTCTGGTTTAAAGTCCTTAGTTTTGTGCCTTTCCATCACCTGTCTTTGGTAATAAGTTGGTCGTATATCTATCACACAAAATTGTAAGCTCCATCAGGGAGGAAATCATATTTCTTTCATTTCTGTATATCAATTACCTAGCATAATGCCTGTCAGGGACCAGTTGTCTTAGAAACACCTATTGAGTTACATTACTGCATCAAGGGTGCCTGACTTTTACCAGAGTCTAAGTTCAAATATAAAGTTGAAGAATAATAAAAAAAAAAACAAAACCCAGGATATATTTAACTAATGGTGGGAGAGTTCTGTACACTGAAAAGACAGTAATAAATGGAAAGATATCCCATGTTCATGGACCAGAAGAACTAATATTGCTAAAATGTCCATACTTCCTTTTATAGTTTGTTTCTTCATTGTTATGACAAAACACTCTTGACCAATACCAACTTGGGGAGGAAAGGGTTTATTTTATCTCACATCTCCTGGATCTCCTGGGTCACAGTTCATCACCAAGGGAGCCCAAGGTAGGAACTCAGGGAAGGAACCTGGAGGCAGGAGCTGAAGTACAGACCATGGAGGATAGCTGCTTCCTGTCTTGCTCCCCTGGCCAATGCTCAGCCTGCATTCTTATACAACACAGGACCACCTGCCCGGAGATGGCACCACCCACAGTGGGCTAGGCCCTCCCACATCACTCAAAAATCAAGAAAATACTTCATAGACATGGCAACAGGCCAATCCAATGGAGGCAATTCCCCAGTTGAAGCTCCCTCAAACCAAGTATGTAAAGTTGTCAACTAAAGCTATCCCGCACACTTCCCAAAGCAAACTATAGATTCAATGTAATCGTTACCAAAATTCCAAAAACATTTTTCACAGAGATAGGAAAAGCAACACTAAAATTCACACATATCCACGAAACTTCCAAAAAATTAAAGCAATTCTGAGTAAAAAGAGAAAAGCCAGAGATATCACATTATCTTATTTCAAAATCTACTTTGAAGACATTTTGACAAAAACAGAGTGATCTTGGCATAAAACATACACAGGCTATTGGGAACACAACAGAAGGCCCAGAGTGCATGGTGGCATACACCTGTAATCCCAGCTCTTAGGAATCTGAAGCAGGAGAATCTCAAGTTCAAGGCCATCTTGGGCTATATATAATGAAATCCTGTCTCAGAAATAAACAAACAACAAAATCAACAAACCACAAAAAGAATAGAGGGCCCAGATATAAAGTCACATATTTATGGTTAATTGATTTGTGACAAAGATGTTAAGGACAGACAATTGGGAAAGGAGAGTCTCTCCAATGAATGGTGCTAGGAAATCTAGATATTGACATGCAGAAGATGATTAGACACTGATCTCATACCATGTACAAAGAACAACTCAAAATTGCTTAAGACACAAAGTGTAGGACCCTAAACTACAAAAACCATTAGGAGGAAGTGCAGAGGAAAAGCTTGTAATACTGGTGTGACTGATGGTGTTTCAGATATGAACCTAAGAGTCCCAGCAACACAAGCAAGACAAAATGGAAGAACATATATGCAAATCATATACCTACTACAGGTTTAATTTCCAAAATATATAAGGAACTCAAACACTTTGATAGGTTCCCACCATCCCCTTCTTTTTGGTTTATCTCTTCACTCTAGTGAAGAGTTATTTCTTTTGTTGAGCAGAAGATTTTTAGTTTAATGGACTATTGTGTCATTTTTGCATTTGCCGTCCATGCTTCTAGATTCATGTCTAAAGAAAAAAATGGTTAAAAGACAAACTGGGACCAGAGAGAGGGTTCAGCAGGGAAAGACACTTGCCACACAAGACTGGTGACCTTAGTTAGATCACTGGAACCTATGTAAAGGTGGAAGGAGAGAACTGACTCCACAAAGTTGTTCTCTAACCTGCAATGCACCATGTGGTATTTGTGCCTCCCTCCCCGTATCACATACACACACATACTACTACTACCATTACTACTACTACTACTACTACTACTACTACTACTACCAACAAATTTTTAAAAAATTAAAAGACAGTTGGATTTAAATATGACCATAGACATATTTCAAAGGACATACAAATAGCCAACACATATATGAAAAATGATCAGTATTAGCAATTATCAGGAAATGCAAATTAAAACCAGTTTCTACCATGCAAAAGACAAATTAAGGGGCTGGAGAGATGGCTCAGTGGTTAAAAGCACTGGCTTCTCTTAAAGAGGACCTAGTTCCAGTTCTCAGCACCCACATGGTGGCTATCAACCATCCCTAACTCCATTCTAGGGGATGCGATTCCCTCTTCTGGCCTCTGCAGGCATTGCATGCATGTGGTGTGCTTATATACGTGCAGGCAAAACAGTCATAAAATATTTAGAGAAAAAGACAAGATAAATTTTGGTGAGGATGTGGATAAAAGGGAAGCCTTACCACTGCCTTACCACTAGTACAGCCATTATGCAAAATAGTACAGAGGTTCCACATAACATTAAAAATGGCACTATCACGTAATACAAAAGGAAATGAAACCAGTACATCAAAGAGACACCTGCACTTATATTTCTTGGCTATTCAGAATAGCCAAAAAATGGAAACAGCCCAGCTGCATCAAGGAAAGAGTCAAGAAAGTGGCAAACACACGTACACGTATGTGTGAGATACTATTCAGTTTTTTTAAAAAAGGAAACTCATTTGTGACATGGAAGAATCCAGAGGATATTTTTGCATTTTATGGACATGGAAACTGAAATAGAGGGAAGCTCGATGCCCAAGGCTCAAGGAGGAACTGGTGTAGCAGGATCCAGTCCTGTGCATCCTGTACCCACGCTGCACTGATGGCCAAGAGAGGCAGGAGGGAGGGCCTCCATGCTCTGAATAGACAAGTTACACATCACTCCGCATTCTTTACCAAGTTTCAGCTTCAACTGCTAACAGAACAACTCTGCCCACCAAGGTTTCCCAAGCTGTTCCATGGAAAACTTAGATGGTGAGACAAGTTGGCCTGGGCCTCCTGTCAACCCTCCCCTGCTCAGAGCGCACCAGCAGATTCCAAAGGTTCTGAGAAGGTCTGTAGTAGAAAAATCTGCTTCCTTTGTTTAGCCTCCACTTCCCTCCATTTCCCCCTATTTATGTGAACAACAGGAATGCTTTTCTACCTGTGTCAGTCAACATACTTCAGCATCCTTCAAGACACTGCCATGCAGACAGAGCAGGGAGAAAGGCAGGCTGTGGCTGCTTTTAAACAAAATGCAAACTTTTCTTTTCCTTAAGAAAATTGGATGTTTTTTGTTGTTATTGTTGGTGCTTAGTTTGAGTTCGCCTGAGAAAATAGTTGAACATAAAATAAAAAGTGACAGGCAGTAATTAATCAGAGGAGGGAAGGGAAATTCTGCATTCCCATCTCTGGGCTCATGCTGCACCTTTTGGCCTTATCCACAACCGCGCCCCAACCTCATTACTGGCTCCACCTGATGGTCTTTGGGCCTGTCTCCAGCTCTGCACAACTGGGTTGACCGCATAGCCTGGCCTGAACCACTGCACCCCCCACCCCCCACCCCTCCCCCTTCCTTGGCTGCCTGGTCCGTGCAGAAGCAGTAACAGAGATGCATCAGGGCTCCACTCAATGTACAGCCACAGCCAGAACTGGCAGATTTCAAAGAAATACAGAAATATAAGAAGTTGCCTGAGACAGGGCTCTCACAGCCTGTGGATTAGGCAGGAGTCCTCCAAAGACAGTCCCAAGAGGGTGGGGGCAATTGCCAACATTTCTTTTTAAATTTCCAGATTATGGGTGCTGGGCATTTGTCTATTTCTTTTGCTTATTTTCGTTTTCTAATTGGCAGCACTTAGCTGTCAAAGAGGATGCGGGAAGGGAAGAAAAGAGGGAGTAGAGGACGACAAGGAGAAGAGGAGGAGGAGGAGGAGGAGGAGGAGGAGGAGAGGGAGGAGTTGTTGAAGGGGGAGGGAAACTAACATTTCAGAGTAAGGGCCTCCACGAGCTAGCCTAATAAAACGAACAAATAGCTCCGCACCAACTCTGAAATGCAAGATTCCTATTGGCAGGAAGGCTTGCCAGGTTGCCCCTTAGCAGAACCCGGCTCAGGCTGGCCCCGGCATCCTGCACCTGGCACAGCACCTTCCCTCTGCTTACCCACTCGAAAGATCAGGTCGTCCTCGATGGGGTTCTCTTTTCGCTTCCCGGTGCTGTACATGCTCGCCGGTCGTTTCACAGCCTTCTGCTTGACGTGGCCGCTCCCAGGGGACTTGACGCGTCGCTTCACACCCTCGGTGGTGGGGGACACATCGGCAGAGCGGATGACCTTCAGCTTAAACGGGCTACCGCGGATGTGCTGGTCGTAGAGCCTGAGGGACAGGGTGAAGTCCCCCTCCTTCTGCACGGTGTACAGGAACTCGTAGGTGCCGTTCTTGTTGTCCAGGATCTCGCCGTCAGCCACGCTGCCGTCGGGGGTGCTCAGCTCCGCTGTGAGGTACGCGTTGCCGGTCTTGCACAGCTCTCCGTCTTTGTCCTTCGTTGTTATAGTAACGGACATGGGCTGCCCGATTATGGTCTGCCGAAGCCCCTCGCCTGTGGCCACTGTCTCTGAGGCTACGGCGTTGGTGGTGAGGATGGTTCCCAGGTTATGGATGGACTTCTTGAGCCCCTCGGTTTCCACAATGAAATCCAGCTGGTCGTTCTCGCGGGGGTGGAGGGGAAAGTCTTGGTCGGCCAGTTCGTTGAGCTTCTCGCTCATCTGCTTCTTCACCAGCAACACCTCGGTCTCCGTGCCGTGGTTGAGGGCCTGCGCTGTGAAGTTGCTGCAGCTCTTAATGCTCTCCTGGCCCTGGAGCAGGGTATCCAGCTGTGACTGGAGCACCTGCGGAGAGCACAGAAGGATGGACACTTCCTTCAGGGCGCCTGTAGCCTGCCAGCATCTGCCAAGCACCGGGGCAGAGCCCTCTGCCCACGAGAACCAGCATCTACATCCGCCCACGCACGTGGCTCAGAACGAGCTGCCTTCCATTTATCCCAATGAACCTATGCGAAATGCAAAACTGCTTTCCCAGTGCCTCCTGAGAGTTCTCTTCTGCCTCACCCTGTGTCATCACCCACAGTGCATGTCTTCGGTCACGTGTTTACATAGGTGCAAACGGAAACTTCGCTATCAAGAGTATGGTAAACAAATTGCTCATTGCTCTGTGACTTTCCCACAAGTTCAAAGCTACCTGGTCACCACCTAAAGGAACAGAAACTAACCGTCTGAAAAGTCTCCACCCCTGAATACTAGACACTTTCTTCCCTGGCTTTGTGAACAGACTGCAGAGCTGAACAAAGGCTGCAGTCAGGGCTCACTTTGAAGTTGAGGAACAGGTTAGTGTGGGTGAGCAGTTGAGAGACTCTCCCACATTATAATTAAGGAAGGAAAACAATCTTGTTAACCCTAAATCCTGAAAGCACTGCATGATATTCAACCTCTCCTTTTGTCAAATTTTAAACTGGTACAGAAGGTCACAGAATCACAGTGTTGCTAAAGGAAAACCAGAAGGTATGCGATCAAATGAAAACTGCACTTCACTGTACAATGGTAACATTTAAGGACCCACTTAAGTCCCCAGTGCTGCTGCTTTAGAACACAGGAAAGAACTGTCCCTGGTGACATGTCTGTTACAGGGTATCTGTAGGTCAATGGCCTCTTACTTTGTGTTTGAGGCCGTAGTTGACCTCCAGCTCCATGAGCAGGACACTCTTGCGCACATTTAAAGTCTTCTGCAGCTCGTCGAACGTGGAATGAATGTCATCCACGATGCTGGCCTTTTGGTTGGTTAACTGATGAATGATTTCTGAGATGAACTGAAGAGCGGAATCTATTTCTGGGAGCCTGGGGGACAGTTGTTAAAGATCACTATTTAACACCTACTTGGAAATATTCCAAAGTCTATCCAAACAGTAGTTTGTTAAAAAAACCAAAACAAAACAAAACATTTTTTTCTATGCCTTTCATCATCTTTAAAAAGTAACAGAGTAGAAGGAATGAAACTTTGAGGGTCATATCGGTTTCAATTTACCATCAATCAACTATTTTAATAGTTATTGATGGTATGAAGACTTGAAGCTCATGGGAAACCATTAAGGCCAAATACTTGTTTGTAGCAGAGGATTATTCTGTGCATGTGGGATGTTTATCAGCATCCTGTCCTCTACTAGATGCCATCAGCATGTCCCTCCCCACCACTGCTACGACATCAAAAACATCTTTATTATTGCCAAATGTTCCTTGAGGGCATAATTGTCCATGGTAGAGAACTATTATTCTAAATATTTAGCTGTATCTTTTTTTTCCTAGTCACATAAATTTATCCAAACTCAGAGTCTCTGGAGAACTTCTTTTAAGTTTCCAAATTCCTTTACGTAATATAGAATGACTGTACTTTTCTCTCTAGGACTACTGACTATTGGTAGGACTAGAGACTATTTTGTTTGGTTTTTCAGCTGGTTGTTACTTTCCTCTTTTCAGTCTTTCTCATACAGGACATGGCTATCTTTTCATTTGTGTTCATGCCAAAGAATGAACCTGGAAGCAAACACAGGAAAAAAATTGAGCAATCACTGCTCAGCACCATTGTACCGGGCTCAAGCAGAGAGGAGCCACTGGCAGCCATCACTGTGGGCCTGGAAGTGTGGCAACAGCTCTAAGGAGATTCTCAGAGGACCTGATTTCAGGCACGAATTTCAGAGAGCTCTTGAGAACATTGTCCTTGATTGAACTTTAATTCATTTAGTCTTCCTTAAGGGACTCAAACCCAAAGTGCCCTCACTCATAAGGCAGTTGGGAATCTTAGCAAGGAGGGGGAGAACTTCAACACTTACTAGTATGTGAATGCAAACTCATGATCAAGGAGAACTTAGGAAATGAAGAGTGATGCCTACAGGGACACATGACCCTATCATCTCAGAGATAAGGGCCCATGAGGCCACACACAGCATGAGGAGCCTGGAGGGGTGCTGCACCTTTTGTTGACGGCATCCAGCTGGACCTGGAGCGAGGCCTTGTGCTGCTCTACCACATCCTTGAGTGGGACAGTGGGGTGCTCTGCGTGCTCCCCCTCGGTGCACTCCCGACACATGGCGGTCTCACAGGACTGGCAGTAAAATTCCATCACCTGTGGGTAACATAGAGAGCTTACTGTGCAGGAAGCACATGCCTTGCATTCTCTTGATTCACTCTCATGACCAAAAGGCTGTTGACATTACTGTGCCCAGCTTTTTACATGACAGGTCTCAAGCAGAGTTGGGTCTGACTGAGAATTACTGCTGTGGTTCTCAAGCTCTCTGGTCTTGAACCTCTTTACAGTCTTTATAATTACGGAGAACTTCAAAAGAGCTTTTGTATACGTGGATTATTTCCATAGATATTTGTCATATTAAAAATGAAACAGGGCTGGAGAGATGGCTCGGTTAAGAGCACTGGTTGCTCTTGCAGAGGACCCACGTTTGGTTTCCAGCACCTACATGCTGGCTAACAACTGTCTGTAACTCCAGTTCTGGGGGCTGTGATGCCCTCTTCTGGCCTCTTCCAGCATTGCATGCCTGAGTGCACTTAAACACATGCAGGCAAAACACACATACACATAAAATTAATAATTTGAAAAATGAAACAGGAAATGTTTATTAATCTATTAAAAGTAATAGTGAGTCTATTTAAATATTAATGTGACCAATGTAATTTGTGAAAAATAACATTTGCAAAATAGAAAATTTTGTGAGGAACATGGCATTGCTTTCCATTTTTGTACATCTCTGAAGTGTCTAGTTTAATAGAAGCAAGCTAAATTCTTAGATTAGCTTCTGAATTCATTCTGTTGTGACAGAACACATTGCATAGATGCTAGAAAGTTCTACCATACAGTCTTTTTATTTATTTATATTAATTAATTAATTTTATGTGTATGATTGTGTTGCCTACATGCATGTGAGTACATCTGTGTTGTGCAAAGCCCACGGAGGTCAGAATAGGGCATCAGAGCCCCTGGAACTGGAGTTACGAGGGATTGTTAGCCATCATGTGGGTGCTGGGAATAGAAACCAGGTTCTCTGTAAAAGCAGCCAGTGCTCTTAACTGCTGAGCCATGTCTCCAGCCCCCCACCATACACTCTTGAGAGAAAAAAGAGTGAAAAAGATAAATACTATTTTCAAATTTCTGTGATATGATTTCAGTACTGACTTTCTGGACCATCTGAAAAGGTTTGGGGACCCATGAGGGCTTCTGAATATTGTTAAAAAACTGCTACTACTTCATTAGAGATGCACTTAGCAGTTTACATCCTGACTCCATCACATATTTACTTGAATGGTCATAGGCAAATCACCTAACCCTACTGCATGTCAACTGTCACCTCTGCCAAATGGGGAAGATGGGAGTACCCCACTTCATGATGGTAACCTGATCTGTCGGGCTGCTGTGAAGATTAAGTAGGTTTGTACACACAAGAACTTGATGCCAGGCACCCACTCAGAATATCTTCTCAGTCAGTAGTAGCTGCTGTGGTGGTGACATCATCTGCTTAGCTGAAAATAAACCACCTTATCCTGATTGGGATGGACATTTAGTAGTAATGTAACACAAAACCTGAGAGTTAAGTTATAGTCACCTGGGAATAATAATTTCCAATTTTGAATTCCCATAGCACTTTTTGGGGAGAACTTTATCTTGCATTTTCAGTAACGCATACGTTGAAGAGTGCATAAATGCTAACACAATTTGATGGATGATAAGATTTTCACAGTATGATTGCACCCACCCAACAACCACTTTATGAAGCAAAGGTTTTTTTGTTTGTTTGTTTGTCTTTTTTAGATAGAGTCTCCCTGTAGCCCTGGCTGGCCTTGAACTCACAGAGATCCACCTGTCTCTGCCTCCCCAGTACTGGGATTAAAGTCGTGGCTGCCACGCTCAGCTGAAACAAAGTTTTAAGCTCCTGAGCATTCCTGTCCAGAGCTCAGGTCTTACCTTGTGTATAGGTACTCAACACTGCTTGGGTGCATGAAATACAGTATGTCCTTAGCCATGAGTCCAGTGGCAGGTGTTACAGTAACCCAAAGGGTGCCTTCCTGATTTAACGCTCTATTTTACATAGTATTTTCTGGAGTTGATTCCATTTTGGAAACACTTTTCCCCAGTATACCAGATTCAGATAAAAGTCTTTCAAACCATTAGATATCATGAAGCACCACAGTTTGCAGTGGGTACATAGTAAGTTAGAGGAACATATGTTTTATTTTGGTCACACAGAGATCTTTTAGGAATGTGCTTGGACCATAAATTGAAAATTTCTTATCTTTTCCCCTGTTTTGGAGCTGTGGATCAAACCCAGGGCCTTGTGTATGGCAAACACTTGCTCTACAGATAAGTTTTACTGTAGCCCTAAATTTTCTTTTTATCCTCTGTTCAAAATTCCTTCCCATACACTATTAAAATGTACTTTAATAACAAGCTGAAATGAGAATTCAAATCTCCAGTGGGGAGACTGCGTATTTACATCTTAATTTGAAATGGATCTGATTCAATCCAGCTCAACACCCAGCACACAGAAACTGTTCCATAATTATTTGTCAAAGGACAATGTGAGCTAAAGACTCCTTCAGTGGCTATTTCCTGGTCAGAATGCCCTCTGAGGGAAGCAGGACTTTACATTGCTTTACGTCATTTTATTACATTCCTTGCCGTCAATGTTCAGGAAATGGAAGGACCTAAAACTATATACAGCATCATATTGTTTCCTATAATAAAGTGTTTAGAAATTACTTTTGGAAATGCAAATATTTGGTAACAATATATAAGTCTCATATCATAAATACTCATTTGGAAAAAATTATTGCTCTAAGAGGCTTCCTGTTTTTGAAAGTCTGGTGGAAGGGAGAACAAGAGGACATTTCTTACTAAGTTATGAAATTTTCTTCTGAAAGTGTCCTCCCCAGAGATCCATGGAACACGATCCTGTCAACATGGAGTCTCATTTTCATGGCTTCAACATTTTCCTTCTGGATTACACATAACTAGTAGTTCACATTCAAGGGCCAGTACTCATGCAATCTCATGTCTGCAGGCAGTGGCAAGTCAAGGACGGAAATGAAGTCTCCTTCCCACAGCTTCTTCAGAGTGTTGGGGCTAATGCAAGTGTCCAGGCTGCAGAGTATGGTACATTAACAGTGCTCATCCAACCCACTGGCACACCTCCCGTGTCAACCAAGGCTGACACTCGGTGTCATATCCTCCTTATGGGAGAAGACAGTGTGGCCTCAGGTCCAGGAAGGGGCTATCCAAAGGTATGTTTATTTGGGAGCCAGTATCCATGCTGCATTTAGAAATCTCAAACACCATACCAGTTGCATTTTCTAGTCTGAGTTCAATGTCCCCAGAAGTCTGAGGAGTGGGATGCCGGAGAAGACAGCAAAGGATATACAGTAATATTATGGGAATCAATAAAAATGCAAAACATCCTTAAGACCAGAGCCCATCACCTTATATAACTAACCTCTTCTTAACCTACATTTTTTAATTTATTATTTTTATTTTATGTGTATGAGTGTTATGCCTGCATGTAGGTAAGTGCACCCATGTCATGCAATGCCTGTGGAGGACAGAAGAGGCTGTCGGATCCCCTGGAACAGGAGTTATGGACAGTTGTTAGCTGCCACATGGGCGCTGGGATTCAAACCCGGGTATTCTGCAAGAACAGTCAGTGTTCTTAACTGCTGAGCTATCTCTCCAGCCCCTTAATCTACATTTTAAAATGGTGATGGAGGTAAGTGCACCCATGTCATGCAATGCCTGTGGAGGACAGAAGAGGCTGTCGGATCCCCTGGAACAGGAGTTATGGACAGTTGTTAGCTGCCACATGGGCGCTGGGATTCAAACCCGGGTATTCTGCAAGAACAGTCAGTGTTCTTAACTGCTGAGCTATCTCTCCAGCCCCTTAATCTACATTTTAAAATGGTGATGGAGGAGAGGCAATACTGAGTAAGAAAGTCTCTGTGACATCACTGGCTGATGACTAAGCTAAGCTAAGTGAACTCATTTCAGTGGTCCCACACAAGAACTGCAGCCTTTACATCAGACTGGCAAGATGGCTTAGTGGGTAAAGACAAAGCCACGTAGCCTCAGGATCTGAGTTCCATTGCTGGGACCCACATGTTGGAAGGAGAGACAACTCCTGTTGTCCTCTGACCTCCACACCTGCACTGTGGTATGCGTGTACACACACGTGCACACACACAATCAATAAATGCAATAACCTTTTTAAAAGAAATAATATTTGAAGAAATAAGAGCTAGGAACTTCCCAGATTTTGATGAAAAACACAAATCTACACAGCCAAAAGCTTCATAAACTCTTAGTAACTCAAACAGAACCAAACCAAGAGAACTTATAATCAAGTTATCACATTAAGACAAAAAACAAGAATCCTGAAACAGTTGGATTTTCTAGTCTGAGTTCAATGTCCCCAGAAGTCTGAGGAGTGGGATGCCGGAGAAGACAGCAAAGGATATACAGTAATATTATGGGAATCAATAAAAATGCAAAACATCCTTAAGACCAGAGCCCATCACCTTATATAACTAACCTCTTCTTAACCTACATTTTTTAATTTATTATTTTTATTTTATGTGTATGAGTGTTATGCCTGCATGTAGGTAAGTGCACCCATGTCATGCAATGCCTGTGGAGGACAGAAGAGGCTGTCGGATCCCCTGGAACAGGAGTTATGGACAGTTGTTAGCTGCCACATGGGCGCTGGGATTCAAACCCGGGTATTCTGCAAGAACAGTCAGTGTTCTTAACTGCTGAGCTATCTCTCCAGCCCCTTAATCTACATTTTAAAATGGTGATGGAGGAGCCGGGCGTGGTGGTGCACGCCTATAGTCCCAGCACTTGGGAGGCAGAGGCAGGAGGATCTCTATGAGTTCAAGGCCAGCCTGGTCTACATAGTGAGTTCCAGGACAGCTGGGGCTACAGAGAGACCCTGCTTTAAAAAAAAAAAATGGTGATGGGGGAGAGGCAATACTGAGTAAGAAAGTCTCTGTGACATCACTGGCTGATGACTAAGCTAAGCTAAGTGAACTCATTTCAGTGGTCCCACACAAGAACTGCAGCCTTTACAT